TGTGATATATCACACTGATTGATTTGCAAATATTGAACCACAATTGCAGTCCAGGAATAAATCTCATTTGATTAAAGTGAATGATTTTTTAATGTATTGTTGGATTCAGTTTGGTGATATTTTGTTGAGGATTTTTGCATCCGTGTATCGAGATACTGGCCTATAGTTCTCTTTTTTTTTTTGTAGTGTCTTTTTCTGGTTTTGGTATCAGGGTAATGGCAGTCTCATAAATGAATTTGGAAGCTTCCCTTCCTCTTCTCTTTTTGGAATAGTTTGAGAATATGTATTAACTTTTCTTTAAATATTTGGTAGAATTCACCTGCTAGGTGTCTGGTCCTGGACTTCTTTTTGCTGGGTGTCCTCTGATTACTGATTCTATTTCATTACTGGTAATTAGTATTTTCAAATTTTATGTTTCTTCCTGATTCAATTCAATTTCTAGGAATCTATCCATTTCTTCTAGATTGTCCAACTTGTTGGCATATAATTTTTCATAATCTCTTATAATTCTGTTTCTTTGGTGTTCATTATTATTTCTCTTCTTTCATTTATGATTTTATTTATTTGAGTTCTCTCTCTGTCTCTCTCTCTTTGATGAGTCTGGCCAAAGGGTTATCAATTTTTTAAAAATCTTTTCAGAGAACCAGCTCATGGTTTCATTGATCCTTTTTTTTTTTTTTTTTTTAGTTTCTATTTCATTGATTTCTGCTCTCATCTGTATTATTTCCTTCCTTCTGCTGGTTTGCAGTTTTGTTTGTTCTTTTTATGGCTCTGTTAGGTGTAAGTTTAGGTTGTTTATTTGAGATTTTTCTTGCTTCTTGATTAAGCCTGTATTGCTATAAACTTCCCTTTTAGAACAGCTTTTGCTTCATCCCAAAGATTTTGGAACATTGTATTTTCATTTCATTTGTCTCCCTGTGATTTTTGATCTCCTCTTTGATATTTTTGTTGACCCATTCATTGTTCAATAGCATTAAATAATCCAATAAATAGCATGTTATTTAACCTCCATATATTTGTGTTCTTTCAGATGTTTTTCTTGTGTTTGATTTCTAGTTTCATAGCATTGTGGTCAGAAAAGATGCATCGTATGACTGATCATTTTGAGTTTGTTTAGACTTGTTTTGTGGCCTAACATACTCCATTCTGAACATTGTTCCATCTGCGCTTGAAATGAGTGTGTATTCTTGTATTATAGGATGGAATGTTCTGGGTAGATCTCTTAGATCTCTCTGGTCCAATGTGTCATTGAAAGCCACTGTTTCCTTGTTGATTTTTTGTGTGGATGATCTATCCATTGATGTAAGTGGGTTGTTAAAGTCCTCTATTATTATTGTATTACTATTGATCACTTTCCTTGTTTGTTATTAGCTGCTTTATGTATTTGGGGCTGCGATGTTGGGTGTATAAATATTTGCAATTATTTTATCTTCTTTTTGGATTATTCCTTTTATGATTATATAGTCCTTTTTCCTTTATTACAGTCTTTGGTCTAAAGCCCACTTTGCCTTGTGTAAATATTGCTACCCCAGCTTTCTTTTCACATCCTTTTGCATAAGTGCTTTTCTGTCCTGGCACTTCCAATCTGCATGTGTCTTTAGGTCTGAAATGAGTCCCTTCTGTGTAGCATATAATGGGCCTTGCCTTTTTTATCCATTCCATCAACTCATGTCTTTTGATTGAAGCATTTAGTCCATTTACATTCAAAGTAATTATTGATAAATATGCATTTTGTTACTTGTCTTATGGTTGTTTTTGTAGTTCTCTGTTCCTTTGTTCTCTTGCTCTCTTCCGTCACGGTTTGCTGGCTTTCTTAGTGATATGCTTGGACTCCTGTCTATTTATTTTGTGCATATTTATTACCAGTGTTTGATTTGTGGTTACCATTAGGTTTATATATAACATCTTATGTATATAGCAGTCTATCTTCAGTTGATAGTCCCTTAAGTTTGAACCCATTCTAAAAGCACTAATTTTTTTATCTTTTTCCAGCCCCATTTTATGAATATCATTTCCTACTTTACACCTTTTTATTCTGTGAGGCTCTTGACCAATTTTTATAGATACATTTAATTTTACTGCTTTTTTGCTTCCTACTTTTCTTACTCTTGCTTATGGTCTTTCCATTCAGAGTCCCTTTAACATTTATCATAGGACTGGTTTAGTAGTGACGAATTCCTTTAATTTTTGTTTGGGAAATTCTCTCCTATTTTTTAAAAAATTTTTTAATGTTTATTTATTTTTGAGAGAGAGAGAGAGCGTGAGCAGAGGAGTGGCAGACACAGAGAGAGACACTGAATCTGAAGCAGGCTCCAGGCTCTGAGCTATCAGCACAGAGCCCAGCGTGGAACTCGAATTCACAAACTGCGAGATCATGACCTCAGCCAAAGTCAGACACTTAACCGACTGAACCACTCAGGCACCCCAAATTCTCTCCTTCTGAGTGATTATTATGTTGGACAGAGTATTCTTGGCTGCAGGTTTTTTTCTTAGAACTCTGAATATATCATCCATTCTGACCTACAAAGTTTCTGCTGAAGAATTCAGTCGTATAGAATTTCCCTCATATGTAACTGTTTTCTTTTGCTGCTTTTAAAATTTCTTTTTTGCTGCTTTTTGCCATTTTAATTACTATGTGTCTTGGTGTGGACCTCTTTGGGTTAATTTTGTTGAGGGATCTCTGTGCGTCCTGCATCTGGATTTCTGTTTCCTTTCCCAGATTTGTGGAGTTTCTTGCTATTATTTATTCAAATAAATTTTCTGCCTCCTTTTCTTTCTCCTCAGGGATCACTATAATGCAAATGTTATTATGTTTGATGGTGTTCCTGACAGGTTCCTTAGTCTGTTTTCTTTCTTTTTTAAATTTTATTTATTTTGAGAAGCAGAGAGAGACAGAGACAGAGAACGTGTATGTGAGTGGAGGAGGGCAGAGAGAGAGGGAGAGAGAGAGAATCCCAAAGCTGTGGCACAGCTTTGGATGGGCTCCTGCCAAGGGCATACTGGAGAAGGAAATTCTGCAGTAGAGTATGGGGGCAGGGCACATGGTGCCAGCATGGCCCTTGCCATCTGCTGAGGGAGAAGACCTGCAGCCACCTGGGAAAACTTGCCAAGACTGGCAGGGTTGGGGGTGAGGGGTGCAAATCTGCAGAAGTGCACTGGGGCAGGGTGCACTGTTAGTAAGCTAGGTGGAATGTGTTGGTGCTGTGCTGGCTTCTGAAGGGTGTCCATGTATTTAGGCTCGGGAGCAGGGGAGAGAAATGGTGCCCAGCAGCTCTTTTGTTCTTGGAGAAGTTTCCCAAAGATCCCTGCCCCTCCAGCACATGCTCTGAGATTAGTAAATGAATCTATTTCCCTGTATACCTCAGGCATTTTTCAAACTGCTGCTTCTATGCTGTTATCTCAGTGGGTCTGTTTGTAGAGCAGGAACTCAGTTCCCTGTTGTCCTCCCTGCTCTCCCAGAAGTAAGCCCACAGATTTTTTAAAGTTCTAGGTGTTAAGCCCCACTGACTTTCAAGTTAGGCCCCTTTAGTTTTCAAAAGCAAATGTTATGGAGATTTGTCTTCTCAGCATGAGTCCCCTGTGCCTGGGGTGCCTGGTGTGGAGATCTGCTCCACTCTCCTCTCAATGCCTGCAGCATTCCTCCCTCCTGTGGATAGTCCCTTGGGTTCCTTTGGCTCCTGACAACATCTCCACCTTTCCTGCCCTCTTTGATGTGGCTTCTTCTCTGCATTTACCTGTGGAGAGTCTGTTCTGTTAGTCTTTGGGTCTGACATTTTCTGGGCTATTGACACTGATGTGGGTGTTACCCAGTTGTATCCATGGGTGAGGTGAGTTTATGATTTTCCTACTCTGCCATCACCTCCAGAAGATGGTTATGGTTACTCTGCAACCAGTAAATATTCTTAACTTTTAAAAATGTAAACAATTTGAAATTATATCTTTTCTACTTACATTTATTTGAATATTAATAAAGTGAAGCATCTTTTCATGATTATAGGCCATTTATATTTCTTCATTATTAACTGTTCATATTCTTTTTACACTTTTATTGCAATAAAATTTCCATTCCAGCCGTCTTTTTGCACATCAAAAATAGTTCAAAATCCTTTTTAGTGGCTATATCTACTTTAGTATTATTTTATACTGCTTTCTCCCACACATCCAAGACTCCTTCCATATTCAAAGACATTTCATTGCCTAACAGAACTGTGTTTTTGAGTTTCTCTACATATATGCACCAGATATTAACTGGTACATTTTCTCTATTTTCCCTCCTAGCATAACTCTTATTTGTCCTTCAAGACTCAGATCAAGGATCAGTGCATCCTCTTGACTCCACAGCAAATATCTGTGGAAATACCTGTTATAAAACCTATCACATGTTATATAACTAACTGTTGTTCACAATGGTCTGTCTCCCTACTGGGCTCACAGCTTCCAGAGACATGAAATTGTAATTGATCTCTGTATTCTAGAATAGTGCCTGACACTTAGTAGGCACTGATTATCTGCTGACTGCCTGAGTTCAAGATAATTATTATATTAGTAATGTTAACAAAGTTGTATGTGTCAGACACATAAATGTCAGAAATTTTTGTAGTAGTATTTCTTATAAAATGTTTAGCAGTTTATATGATATACAACAGAATTTTGTAGAAGCCATCTCCAATATTAAAATCTCACCAAAGAACATAGCAATAAAAGTTTTCATTTCCTGATAAAACTGAGTATGTCAAACATTTAGTTTAAAAACTTACCTTTTTCCCTGGAGACTTAAAACAATTTATTTAAATAACTGCTATTAGGTATAGTTATAATCTACAATTCAAGAAAATTTGCTTATACTGGGAAAGAAAACTGAGAGAATTAAAACGCAAAAAAATATTTATCAGCCATGTCTGTTTTGTAATCTGAACAGTAAGCTCTTTTGTTCAAAGTCTTCTTTGTAAGTTGACCAAGATTCATTTGGATTAATCCTTTATTTTGCTTTATTTCCAAAGGACATCCATTACTTTGCACTAGATAAGGGTGAATTGGCACTGGCTGAAGTGGCAAGAAAAAGAGCTAGTGACATTGATGCAGAATCAATAACCTCTGGAGTTGGTAAGAATTAATGCTGTTTTTTTTAAGTGCTTTTTGTTTCAATCAATACTCGTTCAGTATCATTTATATTTATGTTTGTAGGGCACGGTTGGTTAATTTGAATTACTTTCTTTGTAAAGAAAGAAACTTTAAAAAAGAATTAAGCCTGGGTAAATAGTACACTATAGATATATAAGTTGGAACTGTGTTGACATAAAAATTAATAATCACTGATTAATCATCACTTGGCAAAAAGTCAGAAGTACACTGTTCTTCTCATAAGATTTTTGAGGAAGAGTTTATTACCATCAGTGCTGTTATTAATATTATTAGCCAATACAGAAAGTTCTATAATCCTTTATTTGTACACATAAACATGTCAGATATATTTTGAGATATCAAAAGAATTGTCCTATACAAAGTATTTCACATGGGATTTTAGGTTTAATGGATGACTTGTTTTAATTTAGAAGCCACTAAAGTCATTTTACAGTATAGTCTTCCAAAGAAGACAAATCAGAAGCCTAAACTTAATCTAAAGGTCCATTCAAAACTTTTAATACAGAAAAATGATAGTTTTTAAAATTATTCTAATACCAACATAAGCTTCCTTTCCGACACTCAGTAATGTGTTTCAATGTGGAAGTATTGACCTGTGGACATCCCAATTCCTATTCTTCCTGGTATTTACTATTCCTAGATTAGGCAAAGGACCCTGAGAATTGTAACATAGTTCATTTCTTTGTGGAATTCCTATGAAACAAGTAAGTTTTAATATATCTCCACTTTGTAAATTGCTTCAAATTATTACAACAACACTCTCCATTGATTGATCATCTTTGTTTTTATAATGCTGTTTGCAGCTAAAAGGAGTAATTCTATTGCTTCTAACAGTGGAGGCCACTTTTGCATTTTAGAGACATTTAAAGTTACTAAGCCTGAAAAGGAATGTGAAAAAATTATCCAAAATTTCAGAAAAAAAAAAAAAAAAAAAAAAAAAAAAAAGAAACTCCACTAGTCACCAAAATGCTTCCTATGCTCTCTGTATTCTTTGATTAGACTGCTGTGGCCAGCTGAAACTTCTTAGCCAAAGAGCTTGGTTGATGTTGTTCCCTTTTTGAGCCCTGCCTCATTTCTAGCAAATATCTCTTCATTGAAACCCTGTTCCTCCCCACTTCTCAGCCTTTTTTTTCAGGCCTCACCTTTTGACCTCTATTACTCTCCCTTGACAAAGATACCATTCAGTAACAATAGTTAACTATCAGGAGGTGAACTTCTCAGATTGTTCTGCTCCACTTTTATTCTAGAAAACTGGGGTGACTCCCACTCACAATTCCAAAAGGAATTAGGAAAGCATCTCTAATTTCTTTATTGTAGTTTTTGTCTAATTTTTCCATACAGCCCACATCATGCTGGGGAAAGCTAATTTTCTCTCAGATTCCTTCAATTTAATTCAACTATGCTCCCTCAAACTTTTCTGAAAGCAGAAAATAATTAAGTTTTTGGCTTGCAAAAGTGTTCTTTGATGCAAGCAAGGGGGTAAATTATGTAAAATATCAAGAATATTTAAGTATAAGTAGTTCAGTCTGCATGGAAGAGTCTGTAAAAAATTATCACATGTAGTAGCTGTCAACATAAGTAAAAGAGTTGCCAAAGGAGAAGTTGAATAATAATCTCAACAATTTGAAAATTTTTTATTTAAATTTTTTATTCCAGTATAACATGCATACAGAAAAGCACACAAATCATAAATATAGCACTCAATGAATTTTCATAAGGTAAACACCCTGGGGTACCTGGGTGGCTCAGGTCATGATCTTGCAGTTCCTGGGTTTGAGCTCCGCGTCAGGCTCTGTGCTGACAGCTCAGAGCCTAGAGCCTGCTTCGAATTCTGTGTCTCCCCCTCTCTCTATGCCTCCCCCACTCATACTCTGTCTCTTTCTCTCTCAAAAATAAATAAACATTAAAAAAAATACCAACAAAGTAAACACATCCTTGTGACCATTATCCAGACCAAGTAACATACATTACCAAGACCACACAAGTTGTCTCCTATCCATTTTTAGATACTACAGTCCAGCCCAACTATCTTTACTATGACACTATATATTAGCTTTACCTTTCTTTCAAATTTTAAATAAGTGGAATATATATTATTTTTTTGTATTTGGGTTCTTTTATTCAACTTTGTGAGGATCTTTTATATTGTATATAATTTTAATTCTTTCATTCTTATTGCTATATAATAGTATTCCAATATATGAACATATACAAGTTTATTCATTCTATGCCAGGTATTTGAGTTCTTTCAAGTTTGGGGTTTATTGTGAATAGTGTTGCTGTGAACATACTTGTGTTTGTCTTTTAACAGATATATCCACAGGGTATGTGCTTTGAAGTGGATTTGTTGGAACACAGGCTATATTCATATGCTCAGCTTTAGTAGTATAGGTGAGGAAAATGTAAGCCTCTGTCCTTCAAGGTTTTTCCAGTTGGATTGAAAATCACATTTTCATAAGACTGATTAATAGAAACTCAAACAAATTTAAATAGTATATATACTTCCTGTATACATGGAAGAGACCCAGGAAAACTGAGTAACTCACCAAAATAGCTGAAGCCATCACCTTAAATACCATCTCCATCTAAAAAAAGGGGCGCCTGGGTGGCGCAGTCGGTTAAGCATCCGACTTCAGCCAGGTCACGATCTCGCGGTCCGTGAGTTGGAGCCCCGCGTCGGGCTCTGGGCTGATGGCTCAGAGCCTGGAGCCTGTTTCCGATTCTGTGTCTCCCTCTCTCTCTGCCCCTCCCCCGTTCATGCTCTGTCTCTCTCTGTCCCAAAAATAAATAAAACGTTGAAAAAAAGAAAAAAAAAATTTAAAAACAAAAGATGATGT